TTTGTTTTGTCCCTTTTCTCTTAAGGATGTGTTTGCACAACAGTGGTTTACCCTTCTTAGCAGCAGCAGAGGCCGTGTCCAGCCAGTGAGAAATGCCTGGGTTGGAAGTCAGGTCGACAGATTCTCTTCTTGCCCCAGCAGTCCCTTTTGCTTGCGGCAAGGAATTCTGGAGTCTTGGGACCACCACAATGGGGCCCTTTCTCACAGGGCTGGAAAGCTCGAGCTCTGCTCAGAAAGGACAGATTCATGTTGGAGAGGGTTCCACAATGCAACGATTTATATCAGGAAATGAACAGAATACTTTCTAAAAAAAAAAAAAAAAACAAAAAAACATGAAGAAGAAGAAGGAAAAAAAGCCTTCATCTATTTCTTTGGCTCAGGAAAGAGATCAGCTGTGGTTTCATGATATCAGAGGATGGAATGCTGTAGGGGGGAAATGCATAGCTGTGTGCATCCATCTGTTTGAGTTTCTATTCCCAATGCATAACATACAGAGTTAATTTTGCTTAATTACATGTCATATGGGTCTCAGAGCTCAGTGGGAATGGAGATGCCTTCATGCAGATGGTTCAGCTTTTGCACTCTGAGTACCATGAGTACGAATTTCAACCCTGCACGCTCCATATAGCTCCTGTGTGTTTGGATAATATTAAGGTGTTAGGTGTTCCTCCAACCATAGTCCTTGGTGACAGGCAGATGCCAGTTCTCAGTCACACTTGGTTTTGGGCCTTGTCTCAAATAAAAAATATCAGTCTGGCTGTTGGTGAAAATCAGGAGCATTTCAAGATGCAAATATATTCTCAAGGCTCAAGTTTCTGTGCATGTGAAGACTAGTAGTAAAGTATTTTTGTAGTGCTTTACTTTAAAAATAGTGTCACAGAATCTGATAGCAGTGCTAAGAAAAATACTTTGTGAAAAAGCCGTCTTCGTTACTGACTGCAAACGTAAGTGTTGGGAAGGAGAGAGTGGACTTCCTTGTAAAAATATTTCTGTGCTTTTAATCTGCCTGGCAAATCATTGGTGATTAAAAGATAATCTGAGTTGTTTGCTTGAAATGTCATATATCTCCACCACAGTCTGCCCACACCACTAGAAACTTTTAGGAATTAAGGAGCCTGGGAACAGAAATGACTACAATGTATTTAAACATGAATTAGCAAAAGCCAACAAATACAGAACAATTTCAATTTATGTGTTAAAACACTCTCGAGGATACAGGCTGACCTCCATTACTCAGGGTTTGTCACTGTCTCATCTCCTTCGGACAGCAAACACTGAGAAAGAGACAGGAAGATGATTTACTCTCCCTTTAGCTTCTGTCTCGTCTGCTGCAATGTCTGCTGTGCAGCTCCCCCAGCCGTGCTGCTCCGTGGGTCTGGCAGCTCCTCATGCTTTGCAGGCACTGTGTTCCCTCATAGCTGAAACTCATGGTTGTCTGAAATCTTTGCTAAATGAGTTGAAGCCAAGCCTTGCTTTACTGACAGGGAGAGGCCCCAGGCTAAAGTGTGACGTATCTGGGAAAGGAGGAATCCCAGAGAGTGAACTTTCTGGGTCTGCTGTCCCACAGCAAGCAGGAGAAGCTTTCAAAAGAGCCTTTGCACCATGGGTCCCACAAGGATGAGGTCCCCTGACTGAACCCATCACTTCCAAGGGAAGCTGGTCCTGCAGGAGGCTTCTGCAGACTTGCCAGATCTCCACAGGCAAGGCAGGAGAAATCCTCTGGGACAGATATAAATCAAAGTGAATTAAAAAATAGATAGGCACAACTGTCGCCAATGCACCTAGTCACCTCCAGTCTTCTCCACTTGGAACATTTCTTAGTCTCTATTGAACAAATGTCAGGATACTCCTCACTTTTTAAACAACTTTCTGATAGTGCCACTGTTTGTGTGTATCTGTATGTATTTAGATAGATCAAAACACATGTGCGCACACATCAATGTTTATTAACTCTCACTGAATACATCAGCAAAGTCAGTCCCTAAAGATGGGCCATAAAACTTTTCCATAACATTGTTAATACAACCCTCATCTTTAAATTAGATTGCGAGTGACATATTAATTCAACATAAGATCTTTTTATGATTGAGAAATTTCCAGACCGTGGATAGCTTAATGTGCTAACATGGAAGTCAGCTTTACAGCAATGTTCGTGGTCCTCCTTTCACAATCTAGCAATTTCACAAATTGCTAGATTTCAAATTAGTAATGTTATCCTGGGATAATGTTGATGAGAAAGGAGATCCAGCTTCCCTCTCCTTTGTCATTGAAGGAGAGTCTTGTGGGATGTGCTTGGCACCAGCTATGTTTTAATACCATTAGCAGCAGGAAATATTTTCCTTGCCAGTAATGAGGCTCAGCATCAGCTAAAGGTGGTGCCCCACAGGAAGACTTTAAACGAAATTGCTAGATTGTAATTCAAAAAAGGCTAGAAATATGCTATTTTTGAGACAGATGTTTGTTCAGTATGGAGTGATCCTGGATGATGAAGAGACCTGCCAGCTCTACTTTTAGCTCCACCTGCTGCTTTCATTGTTATTCTTGTAGCTATGGTTGGCAGTGAAGTCAAGATGGTGGTGTCTGTTCTCATATAGAAATGGAAGAAGAATGGAAATATGTGTGTGTATAAAGATGAAAAGATAAAAAGAACAAGAGCTGAAAAGAAAGTGAGCTTCCCTGCATAGCTACAGCTAAGGCATTGATTGTACCTTTCCTTGGAAGGGTTTTTCTTCTGCAAGACCACATTTTTTCTCTGATGTAAGGGTTAACAGTGTGCCAGGTGCAGTCTGGGTTGCAGGAGATCAGAGTTTCTTGGAAATTGTTACAGTTAAGAGAAACCATTAAATAATTTCCTCTATTGGTTTGAAGACATAAACCAATACTTCAGCCTCACATTAATGGTTCACTGAAAACAGTGAGGCTGAGAGGTATTACCCTTATATGTCATCACTTGGGAGAGGGAAGATACATCAATGAATCATATGCAGAATAGTAAGGCATTTAAAAAATTAAACATGGAGTCAGGCAGTGCTCCTTGCTGCTGCTATTGCAAAGCACCAACACAGGCTTTCTTCTTTACAGAAAAGAGGTGAAGAATATGTACACAGAGAGCACTTTACACAGCCAGAGAGATTATTTGCTAGCCTTTGCTTTCTTTTTTTTTTGGTTTTTTTTTTTTCCTGTCCTTGCTGTGAGGAACAAGTTTTGGATTTCAGAGTTTCACTGTGGAGATGAAAATTTTATTTCAAGCTTTGGTATTGCTTTCCCCTGACTTAATGAGTGAAATGTGGATGTACAAAAAAGTAACGAGATAGGGAGACACAGGGTACCTGTTTTTTTTTCAGGAACTCCAAAATCAGAACCCAATCAAAGTTGACTTTAAAACTTACAGAAAGACTAAATTAAAAGAGGAAAGCTAGCCCCACAGGTTGTTTGGCTTTTCCTTTTTTTTTCATTAAGCCTTGTGAATTGGGTGGTGGTAGTGATGAAAATAACTATTTTATAATGACAAATTAATTTATTAACTATCAATCAATTATTACCTCATTTTTAATTATGATAATTGAGTTCTGTATGCCAGAAGAGTTGTACTGACAGCTCCACAAAGCTCCAGACTGGCCTGGGAGCCAAGCTGGGGTAGAGGACTACATTTTGGGGATTGTACCATCCCTGGTTTGGTCTGAGGGAATCTCTGTTTCAGACACCATATAGCAGGAATTGTATTTGCATATGATATCACTTCTGTAGAAGAAGCAACTTATTCATGAGCAGTAGCATCATCACATCAAATACAGCTGCAGATATGGCTGAGAAAGACAACCATTTAATTGAAGTAGAAATGACACTGGGAAATTAAAAGAGGGTGCAAAAAAATTCCCAGTTATTACTCACTGGACACAAATCCTAGACATGAAAGGCATGGGGATGCACACACAGTTCTGGGAGAAAGAGAATTTACAGGTAGACATAACTCTGCCCTCAGGACAGCTTTGGGGGCTCTTCAGCTGAGCCCCCAAACTCTCTTTAAATAAACAGTTTGGGATAATCCCTCTCTGATCCTCTGGAGGATGGAGCAAGGTGCAAGAGACAAAACCCCACTTCTGACAGCCCAGACCCCCAGAATGCAGAGGCTCCTGCCCGCCCCGCTGGTGGCATTGCTGCGAAGGAACCTGCCATGGGGTGGCTTTGCCAGCATGAGCTGTGCCCGGGGCACTGTGCCTGCACAGCCCCTGCCCGGGCTGGGGCTCACAGGCTCCAGGAGCACCGCGGGCAAGCACAGCCATAAGCCAAGTATTTTTGTCCTCAGTTTTGCTTATCCCGAATCAGTTCTTGCAGCTCCTTCTGTAATTTCTTCCCCTCCCGTAGCAGCTGTGTGGGGTTTCAGCTGTTCTGCATGAGTAGAGGTGCCAGCACCCTTTAAATCACTATGGGAAAGTAAGGGTGCATGTTCTATCCTGGAAGAAAGAAGAAAAGATAAAGTTTGGGGTTTGCTTCGATTTGTTTGGCTTTTTTTTCTTTGTGCTTTCCAAGTGCTTGTCAGAGATAACTAGGAGAGGAATGGAGGTTATTCACTAATTAATTAGCTTCGGGACTGGCAGCCGCGCCAGCTCAGCCCGGAGCAGCCGCATCCCTGCAGCAAACACTTCCCACTCCCGTTCCTCTCCGGCGGGAACGCTAAGGGTTAACCCAGTAGCTGTGCATTTAACAGCTCAATTTAAAGGGGAAAAAATGACACCCCTCTCCCCTGCCTAGCTGGCTGTGGATGGTTCGCTCTGCCGGGCTGATCACATGCTGCCGAGCCCCCGGAGCTGCGGCAGCGCCCGGCCGGTGCCGCTGACGGGCCGGTGCTGCCCCGGCCCCCGCCCGCCCTCACCTCCGCTCCAGGGAGGGAGGGCGCAGCGCCAGCCCTCCAGCATATGGGTGGAAATTTGGGAGGCACCCATTCTCTCCCCACCGTTCCCAGCTCTAACCATGTCTATTTGTTGTTGTCTTTTTTTCAGGGACTATGGATCTTCAAAGAGAAAATCAGGTAAGGCACCAGGCTTTTTTAATGTACTGCATGATTCTAGAGAGGTCCTTACCCCCTGCTTTTCCCCTTCTGTTTATCTTGTGTGGCATTAAATTGTGTAGCAGTTTAACTTTTTATTGCTGAATCCTGCTGCAGATAAGCATCAGTTTCTTTCCTTTGCACTGGATAGAAGAAACATATCTGTATGCTATATAGATATATGTATACCATATGCCTTATATAGTATTGCAGTTAAAATGACTGCTCTTCTCTAACTGTATTTATACAGCTTCATCTCCAAGGTGAGATGATAATTGTATTGCATTTCTTTATTTTTCACTGTAAATGGTCAAAGTGCAAAGTCAGAGTTGGGGTTCTTTTCTGGAGGGGAAAGATATATTTTCCTGTGCTAACTTGAATCTTTTATCGTGCCTTTCCAAAATGCTTTGGTGAGGCTTCTGATGCAAAATGTTCTCAATGCTTGTGTCTGGCTTTGGGTTGCCTCAAAGGCTGTAGCTCAGTGTTTTGTTGTTAAAATCCTGGATTGAAATGTCCTATAAAACCCTGATTTGAAACTATATAAATCTAATTTTTCCCCTCCCCATGTAGCTCCTAGTGATTTTTACAGATGTGTTTTCAATAGGGATGCAATTATGGGCCTCTGGGTTTGGCTGCTCTGAGCTGGATGTGTGAGGGCTTTCTAGTTCTTCATTTTTTTTTCCCCCTAAGCAGCATTGAGCACCTGCAACTCTCATTGACTTTGTTTGGAACCTTGGATGCTTCAAATTGCATTCAGGGCATCCAAAGAGAAGCGTTTCAAAGCAATACTGACTCCTGGAAAACTCTGGCTTGTGTGCAGGGAGAGGAGGATTTTTTTTCTTCCTGCTTTTTAATATGATAAAGAAACACTGCAGTGGCTTAGTCTCTGGAAGGGAAGGGAAGATGAATGTAGCATACTGGACTGCAATGAGTATCACTGTCTAGATTGATTTGTTGGATAATTATGAGGGCTTTTAAGCTGCCATCCTGTAATAAGCTAAGTGATGCACTAAAGAGAAGCTGTTGCTTAACCCTAATAGCCTGGGTATCAATTGGCAGCTGCCTTTGCGGGCCAATACTTTTGGTACCTTTCCTTGAATTTCCCTGAGGTGGGGTGTGATAGTGAAGAGGCAAGCATGGTACAAGGTGCTGGTCCCACAAATAAATTAGGGCATGCTTGGTCTTCTTAATCTCCCGCAAAGCTTCTGTCTGGGTTGCACTTCTAGGACTTCTTAAATGTAATATTAAGGAAAGTGTGTGTGCGTGTGTTCACAATAGCCTGTGAATTAAGTTGGCAGCAGTGCCTTCTCTAGAGGGGCTGACCATAAATAAAAAAGTCCAAGTGACTTGGTAGAGGGCAGAGCTGAGTGTGGGAGTTCCTGCCTCAGTGCCACATCCTGAGCACTGGGGGCTTTTGAAAAACGTTGCTGAAGTCTCTGGGGCAACCTGATTTAGCACTGACCTGGAACAGCAGTAGGAGACACAGAGAGGTTTGGGCTCAGTGCACCAGTTTACATGAAAGAGTATTGCAATTCATGTGCAAGAGATGTGAAGAACTGCTTTGGGAGTGGAAGGAAACTGCTGTCTCTCCATTCCTGTGGCTCTGGGGACAGGATGGAGCTGATCTGCCATGACATCATGAGAAAAGCAATTGAGTCAGCTGAGATGCCATTTGTGGATGCTCTCCCCTGCTGGACTCTTTGGCCCCCTGCCCTGAGAAGCCCAAGCAACGTGGCCATTCATCCCTGCGAGGGGCACTCAGGTTGGGCTCCCTCCTTTGGCTGTCCCAGCTCCACGTGCTGCCAGATCTCCTTCTGCTGCTTCTTTCCTTTTTGGTGCTGGGCTGTTTGTGCAGCAGGGCTTGGAAACAGTGGAGCTGAGGGACACTCTTTCTCCGCTCACCCTGTACAGAGAGGAATGTGAAGCAGCACTACAACAAATTGAGCTGCATAAAGGGACTCTGTTCTCGGCCATCTCCTTGCTTGATTTTCAAATGGCAGAGGAATGCTTCCTTCTGTTTGGAGCTGGATGCTGTGGGAGCATGCACGCAGTGAGCAAAGGAATATGCCAAGGGCATTGCCAGTTACAGCCTCTAACAAAGATCAGCTTTATGACACTTGAAAAAGGGATGGGGTGAATAAGCACAGATTTTCAGGATTGCTTTGGTGGTTCTTTAAGATAAAAATGGCTTTGAAATGCAGTGTCTTCGGTAGGTGCAGATCATGGAACTACTGCATCTTTAAACAAGAGACAAATAGGCATTTTTAAATGCAAGCACCTCCCAACAAATGAGACCTTATGAACATCCTGTGTCTTGACCAAAGATGTGCTTGGTGGAGGCTGCTGGGTGTGAGCACAGCTGTCCCACACTGTCCAGCAGGAATCCCACAGCTGCTGTGTCTCAGGCATGTGCAGGCATGACACGAGCATGGCCGACTGCAGAAACATTCAGAGAATGCCTCAGACAGCCAACATCACCTCTACCCTGACCTCTGCCTTGCCAGAGTGAGTGTCTAGCTAGTCCTCTGCTCACCCCTTAGAGCAGGGAGAAACTGGAGAAGTTCAGAGTTTAATAGGAGTTATGGAAACATTTACCGCTGCAGTTGATGCTGGTTGTAAACATTTGAGACCTTCTGAACCAAATGCAATAGCGTGGCATGTCCTTAGCTAAACAAAAGGGAGTCTTGTGCTGATCTGGGGCATCTCTGCATGCCAGCCCTGAGCCAGGCTTCCTCTTGTGCAAAGGGCTGTGTAAACACACAGCCCTTTGCTTGGATGTGATCTAATTATAAATGCTTTAACCTGCAGCCAGCTCAGAGACCTGGGGCTCTGTGAAGGCACAGGCCTTTGCTGTGGCCTGAAATGCCACATGTGCTGGTACCTTGGACTTGGGGGGCTTTATCTGACATGCTGCAGAGCTGCTCAGAAAGCTGCCTTCGTGTTTCCAGGCAATTGAATTGTTACTCTCTGACCATCTGTCAGTGCTGGAGAGCCCTCAGTACAACTGTGAGGAGTGGTTACATGGACATATTCTGTACACTTGCAACAAATGGTCTCTTCTTGGTCCACCCAAAGACCCTCTGCAGCAAAATGGGAAGAAATTACTTTTCAAGCTCCAATTTGTCAATTGCATTAGCCAAGTGAACAGCTACTTATTTGTCACTCAAAATAGGTATTACTTCTATGCTGGCATCCATTGTGTGTTTTTTCTGTCCTCAAAATAAGGGTAGAATTGCTGCAAGTCTAGTAATGGATATTTGTATGGTACATTACAAGCAACAGATTAGGTTAATCCATTCTGCAAACCCTACCAGCTACCATCTGTGCATGGTGAACTAATTAACCCTTGAGATATCTGCTAATCCTGATGTGGTTTATAAAACCAGTTGGAGTATGTTTCTCCCTAAAGATGTCATTGTGTCCCCCACCTCACAAACCCCCTTGCTGGCTAGAGAAACCTGCAGACTCCTGGAGTAAGATCTTGCCATCTCCCCTTGCTGACCATCTTTCTTGGCTGGTTTTTAATGCCAAAGCAGTCAGATCCCAGTCACGAAGCTGAAGCATCTGGGACCTAGTGTTTGGTGGCAATAGGGAGCTGATGTGGGCTTCACACTTTTCTACACTTTTCTACACTGAGTCTCAGTGCTTCTCAACTACTGAGAGGATTCTCTTTGCTACCCTTGAGGTCAGATCCAGCACAAGAGGTGCTTTCAGAGTGTTCTCTGTAACCTGCCTTGCAGGTGACCAAGCCCTTGTGGTCACAACTCTCCATGTGCCTGGGCAGGAGCACTGCTGGATTCCCCTCCTGGAACCATAACCAAACTGCCCCTGCTCTGACTGCCCGCCTTGCTGCTGGGGGCAGAGCTGGCTTCAAGCCTTTGCTTGATGGCTTCCTCTGGCACTTTGTTGCTGTGCTGTAGGATGCTCCTCCAAGTGAAGGGAAATAAGCTTTAGTAAAATGGAAGTTATGGTTCTATCAGTCCTGCAGTGTTTCCTTTCCCTCATTGTTCAGATTCTGTCTGCATTGAGCTGGCTGTGCTTTGGCTGAGTCTGGCAGCTGAAGTCTATTTTAAGTAGTAATTGGGCACTTAGAATATTAAGTTAATGATTCGGTTCAAGCCAGTGTTGCCTCAGGATGCTGATCAGGCCTCAGGCTTCCTTGAATGAGTAAACCATCTTTCAGCTGGGTTTCCCTGTCCAGTTTTTGGACTAGCAGGATTATGGCTACACACAGCCAACAATCACGGTTTTCTTTCCCTCCTGTAATCTAAAACTAGGAAGGATATATCTGCTGGCAAGTAAATAAGAACTTCAGAGTCCATTGGAAGATACTTCACAAACTTTTTATAGAAACATTTGTAATGCTGTATTTTCCCTCAGTGGGGAAATTACTAAGCAGAGTTGAGAGAGTTTCAGCAATGACAGAAGTGGGGCCTCAAGTGAGAAACAAGCAGATTGTTGTAAAAACACCAAGGGCCCTCATGGCTGATCACTTTGTGGGATGCTGCCTAGGAATTATGGGTGGAGCTGATGGCCAAAGTTGCTTCCTTGGCCTAATTCTTCATTACTAGAGAGACTTTCTCGCCCTCATGCTCTAAGGATGAGCACTCTGACAGCTTCAGGGAGCGCCTTAGTTGCCATTTCTTTGCATTATTTAGGATAGGGTTTGTTTTTTTCTGCTTCCTTTGTAATTACCAAGGGAAATGCCTCAACTTGTGGCTTTTTCTGTCCTTACAGCTGAGCTATGCTCATCATTCAGAGCTTAACCTTTCTAACCCTGTCACTCTGCATGTGTCTAGCCTGCACTTAGTGTTCCATGATGCGTCTTGCTGTCTCTTTTTCCTTTTTATAAATGAGCTTTATTTTCTTGACTTAGTCTGAGCTGCCTCCTTTAAGACAATGTGGAGAGAATGAACAGTGTGTGCCACCCCTTCTGTGCTTAATCGTTCAATGGGGTAACAAATGTGTGAGCTCCCAGCTGG